CCTGCCTTCCCCCCCTGGCTTCCATCGCGAAAGCTTTCCCCTCTAAACAACCCTCTATTTTTAACCTTAACGAATAAACCATGGAGGTAGGCTCCATGGAAGAAACAAGCAGCCAACACATCTTCTTGCTTCTACTCGCACATGTTTCCGGTCATCCGAAGTTACGGTTGATAAAACTTTTATCACCCATCTTGGCGATCTTTCTAAACATGCCTTATATTTCCCATTGCAAACGAAGGGTGACATTTTTTCCTTACCTTATTTTCCGGGGACATTCTTTCCGTTTCCCTTTTTTCCGGGTGACATTTTTTCCTACAACCGTAAAAAATCATCCAAATGCGTCCTTTGTGTCATAACTATTCGGTTATTGCACTGAAATGCTTATAAAGCGCCTGCGAACAATTTTTCTTCTTTGCCTGTATTCCTTATAGTATATCACTCTCTTACACTCTCGTTATTGTGACGTACTATCGGTGTCATCTAGTTAATTTCTGAAATTTGCATATGATTCTTGAAGATGTGTGTAGTGATTTGACAGGTGATATATTTATTTTAGAGTTTGATTTCCGCGTGACTCCGAATTATCCTTAATTTATGGACATGAGTGTAGGTTCTTCATTATTTAATTTCTTGAAATATAATACAGGGCGATAATATTTGGTAGCAACAGTTTGAAAAGTGAAACGGACATTCAGAGTGATTCAACGTTAAATCGCAAAACGAAAACAATAGTCCCTCAGGGACAAAGCTAATTGCTTTCATCTTGCATAAAAATTACTACAGTTTCCAGCCAAACTCTGATTCTCACTTCTCTTTCGAAATAAATATATACTACTATATATAAAAGAAAATTTTCATTTTGTGAATAAAATAACTGAATATAAAATGCGAAACTAAATCATTTATTAAAAAATGAACTTTTGTAAAAAACTTATAAATCAATATTCTGAAAATTTTAAGTAAATATAGCATTTAGTTCTCTCCCTTAACCTTTTCAGTCCCAATGGGGTATATAAGTCCCAGTAGATGTTTAAAGAAGCCTAGAGGGAATTACACGCATCAATTTACTACATAGTTAATGTCCCACTGATAGTAGGCATAATTTCTAACATCCCCACTACAAAATTGTCGCGCGCCTCTTCTTATAGAGGCTTAGTTACAGACTGTCAATTTCTGTCAATGTCTATTTGTGTCATTTGTGTTAATTACCAAGAATACATAAAAAAAATCAAAAAAAAAAAAAAAAAAAAAAAAAGTCAGCTGAAACAAACAAATAAATTGGGACTGAAAGAGTTAAACAATTTAAGATGTTTTTAAAATTTTCGTTGTTTAGTTATTCAGATTTCAGGCAGCAAAATCATCTTCTCCAAATGCCATTTGTTAAATGTATTTATTTAACTCCTCAAGAAAAAAATTATTTTTCCTTTCATTTAAAGATTTTATATTTTGACAACTTTTACATGCTATTTTTGATATTCTGCACTATATCACACGTAAAATTATAAATCTTTGCTCATAAAAATTCATAGATTCCTGAGTCTATTTGAATTAATTGCGTTTCTTACATCCAAAAGATGTTTAATATGTTAAAGACGTATATTAATAGAGTTTTATAATATGGTGGGAAATATGCACTAACATATAACATGCATTAAAATATTTGAGTCACAGGATCACTAAGAAACCATGTTTATTACCAAAATAAATAAGGGCAATGTACAATAGAGTAAAGACTACAAAAATGAATGAGGGCAATATAAGGACTATATGCAACTTCTCCCACTCCCACACCATCACTACTATAAAAAATTAAACGTGTTGCAACAATGAAATGAACAAAAAAGAGGGAGTCTGAGCAATCCAGTACTCCCCCCCCCAAGGAAAAGCAACTGATTCGAGAATATACAAGTATTAAATACATAGTATGGAATCACAGCCAATATACTAATTAAGCTTTGCATTTATATTAAAGAGAACGCATATCGAAGTATAAGAAATGGCTAACTCCATGAAAGTATCAAGATGAAAAAAATATTTTTGTTGGATTTAAAATGTAGACTATGGAAAACGTGCCTTCTTTAAAGATATCTCTTTTTCAAAATGTGTTAGATGCTTTTAGTTGAATGCGTAGAACACTAAATACTTTCATTTTATTGAAAAAATATTCTTTCTGATTATTTTAATTAAAAAAATCATGCACGAAGCGAACTCGGATTTTAAATTTAGTTATGCTTGATATTCAAAATCATATGTTTATAAAACATTTAAAATAATATATAAAAAGTTACATTTTCTTATTCCAAATAATTTGTCATTTAAGTACAAAACAATTGTACTTGAAACGTTTCAGTCACTGAAAATAAAAGTCAATGTAAAATACGTGCAGTTTTCATCCTTGAATAAAATAAGGGAAATTTGATTTTGTTTTCCACGGTAAAAAACATTAAAAATTGTCTTAGGAAGTTGGTCCCTCTAATTTCAATAAGTAACTACTAAATTTTCGAATAAAATGTATATGAAAAATTAAATAAAATACTTTTAAGTGCTTAATAAAAAATATCTAAATCTATTTTTTTTTAACCAATGACGGACCATGAGCCAACTTCGGCTTGGCCACTACTAAGAAGTGATGGTCCCTTTATTATGGAGGCCCCAAATAGGTGGGCCCCCTTTGCCTCCTAAGAAGAGATGGACAGTTACAACCATGAACCGAGATTCGAGCCCGGGGCTTTTGGTATGGCAGGCCGGCTCCCCAAACCACCCGGAACCCCACACCGTCTGGGCGGCCTAAATCTAAACGTAAATGTAAGCAATCCAATTTAAAGTGACCACTCAAAATTCCATATCTTTTTAATCTTGTGTGGATGTGGTGAAATTGCATAATGATTAAAACCTATGTTTATTATTCTCAAAAAAATTTTTCGTCTTAGGGAGATAGTCACCAAGAAGGTTTACTGCAAGTATACATTATTTCTAAAAAACAAAACAAAACAAAACAAAAAAAAAAAAAAAAAAGCTGCGTGAAGATTTTCGTGATTTTCCTGAAGTATAATGTGCATATGAACTCGTTCCTGAGAATGTACTCTACAAAGGAATCCCACCCCTTAAGCAGATAGCCGTAGTGTGCTTTGGCATAATCTAATAATCCAAACACTACGAAATATTATATAGCTGACTTTCATCATAACTAGCAAATCGACATTTAAGTACTGACTGCAAGCTGTGCATGAAAATTTTTAATGTCACTTTAAGAATAAAGTGAACAAAACAAAATAGTTTTCACAATAAGAATGTAAGATTAAAACAAAAGTGAAGAATATAATCTCATAATTACGTTAGCAAATTTCTTATATTTAAGGTCATGCAGTTGTTTTCCTTTTTCTAATCTTTTTTAGATTATACTTTTTATGAAAAATTACCAGTAAAAACTTTATAAAAATGATTTATTAATGACCTTCGATAGTTAACTATGTCGGTTTAATTCTATTAAGTGCTATAAGTTGAATTAATTTTCTATGCTTAAGTTTCCTTCTTACTTTACCAGCAAAATTTATAAGTGAATAAAATATATGAAAGTAAAAATTATTCTTCTTTCCATCTTGCGCCCACAAATCATCATGAGAACCCATTACAATTATTAAAGCTTGAAAAAGTGTGTCTGCGATGTTATGGTCATGCGATAATTTGTAGGTACTTTATTTTTTACCACGATATTTTCGACCGCGATGTTTTTAAACTGCGAAGTTTTTTGAGCCGCTTTATTTTCGACGACGATATTTTGTACTACGATGTTTTCTCTTTGCGACGTTTTCTCCCACGATGTTTTGTAGCACGACGTTTCCGCCTTGCGTTGTTTTCTCCGCGACGTTTTCGTCCGCGGTGTTTTAAGCCGCGATGTTTTCGGCTGTAACCCGTCTCCTCACATTACCATCATTTTGGAATCGTTGCCAAAGACTGGAGATGACCCTCTGGGTAATTCCGCGGTGTTTTAAGCCGCGATGTTTTCGGCTGTAACCCGTCTCCTCACATTACCATCATTTTGGAATCGTTGCCAAAGACTGGAGATGACCCTCTGGGTAATTCCAAGTTGGTCGATACTTCCAGTTGGGTACGCTAAATTCCAACGGCCGATAATCCACCACGTAAAAACATCATATGCGTCCTTTGTCATAACTATTCGGTTATTGCACTGAAATGTTATAAGCGCTGCGAACAATTTACATCTTTGCCTGTATTCCTTATATATCATCTCTTACACTCTCGTCATTGTGACGTCATCGGTGTCATCTGGTACTTCCCGAAATTTGCATATGATTCTTGAAGATGTGTGTAGTGATTTTGCAGGTGATATATTTATTTTAGAGTTCGATTTCCGCGTGACTCCGTATTATCCTTAATTTATGGACATGAGTGTAAAATAACCTAACATAACCTTACCTTTAGATAAATTGCGCAAGAAATGTTCGCATTTGATTTCTTGACCGGAGTTCAATCCACAATGAATGACTTTGGAAAATCCTAAGGATTAACGTAGCACTTTCATCTTCTCGGCGTTGTTAGTATAAAAACTTACAGAAGCTGTGAAAAATCAAATTACTAATACATTTATATGTACATAAAGTACGTAAGTTTATATTAATACATCACATAGCGTTTTTATCAATTTTTACATCACGTAGCGTTTTCATCAAGTTTTACATCGCGTAGCGTTTTCTTTATGTAAACAGGCCCATTGTTCCAGTTCCGCGTGCTATCATTAGAAACTACTTACAACTGATTTTTCACTGATTTATTTTATTTTATTTTATTTTACTTTTTTTGTATTTTAGGACCATGAACGTGGAATGTTTCTCAGAACCAGACTGTTCTGAACCATGTGATGAGAGCACCTGTAAAAAAGAAGACTGCAAGTGTGGATCTTACTTAGATGAATGTAACTGTTGTTCCATTTGCTACAAGGCAAGAGATTTAAAGACATTTTAATTCATTATTAAAAAACAGAATTTATTCACGTAACAGATATTATCTTCTGAAAGGAAAGATAATGTAGTATCTATGAAAAAATAATTCTAAATAACACGTTGTGTTCATAATAGCATTATAGTCTGAAAAACTATTTTGTGTAAAAATACAGAATGTCATCTTTTATTTGGAGATGCAGTGAATTAGCGCTTACAATAACTATGAATAAGGGTAATGCTAATGACGCATTACGAAAACTGGAAGTTCGGTTTTCTTTTGTAGGCGAGCTTTCTATTATGGAGGTTTGGGTTCGCAGATGAGTGCTTTAGCAAATAGACTTAAGTTAGTAAGCACTTTAGCGACTAGACTGAAAGCAGGTTTCAAAATTGTATGAAACATTTGCCACACAATTTTCCTCTAGTAAACGGGAGCAATGAATAGCACTATACCAGTGTGCAACATGATATTTGAAGCAATTGTGAGCCTACTGCACTTAGAGCCGAATTCGACAGCCCAATAAATTAGGGTCTGGTACAAGATAGTTCTGATGTAGCTCTTGCACGAAAGAGGTCTGGCACGTTGAGGTGCATAGAGAAGGAGTAATACATAACCCAGTGGAACACCCCTATTACATCCTATTACCCTATTACATAAAGCTGTTGCGCATTGAGATTCTATCTTAGTCAACATTTTAACGGCGATGAATGAGTGCTGCGGTTGTGGCACCAACTCTCACTGTTTGCGCATAAATGGGATAAGTTCATTAGTAGCGATTATCGTATTGTGGACTTTTTGGGCTCGAAGGCTAATATTTTAAAGATTGGATTAAAAAACGTTTCTCTCCCCTCCCGAATTAAATACGTCTTGTCTTTTTCTTCCAGCAAGTGAAACAGCTACATAAATTGTACGTTCATATCACGTCTGGTTTGCCACTTCAACAGCATAATGTGTTACGCAAAAACATCATTTGACGTAATTGGATGTAAAACAGGTTTGGGGAACATTTAGGGAAGATTATAGTAAACAAATGCTATATTTCTTTAATTCCAAGCTGTTTTTATTCAGAGAATATAAATTATGCAACTGAGTTCTTTTTTTGATGTGTGAAGACATGTAAGTTTAAGGATAACAATTTAGGGTACTTTTCCGTTTCGCGAGCGCAGATCTGGCCAAGCAGATTTTATTGGCGACAACATACAGTATACACATAAAATATGGTAACAAATGTTAGTTCTAAGAATTTTTTTATTTTGAAGCATAAATTAATATTTTAAATTTGTAAAGCAATAATAAGGATAATAAATTTGTAAAAGCATTAATTTAAAATTTTACTATTTTCATAGTTCAACACCCCTTATCACATCCTGTGATCTTATCTCACGTAACTGCGCTGCAAAAACCTACTTTTTCAGTATTATCTACATTAATTTCAAGTCAATCTTAATTTGGAATGCAAGTTTAAATGCAAGAAGAAGTTTTCATTCGTACGAAGCTACTCAGAATTATGTAAAACCGCAGTGCTTTACTTAGCTAGGGCATTCTCATTTAGAATGGATGAATTTAACCTTTGACTTTGCTTTTTCTGTATTTTTGCCTTTGGGTCAGCGGTGTGATTGCATCCTAATTGACTTAATTATCCCGAATGGCCTTAGGGTATAAAATTGAATTATCTGGTAAAAATTCTAGGTAATTAGGTGCCAATATTGAAAGCAGCAATCAATCTGATAAGAAATGGCTCCGACTTCTTTTAAAAATGAGGCGTGAAACGTTACCAGCGAGGATATTCCGTTTGGAATCAGTTGTACCGTTATTCGTGACTCCAATTTTTTGCGCCGGCAAAATAGAAAAGTACCGAATTTAGTTCTATCATTTAAATTAGCGTGTGTCTTTTTTGCATACATGCACCGAGCCGTCGAAAAATTCTAAACCATGTTAAACGAAAATTGAAAGTAAAATCTGTATAAGAACAAGACTGTATTATTTTTCTATGATGCAAAAGCAAACCTTAAAGGAATATTTTAGTTATGTGGAAAAGAAATAAAGAATTACTAAGATATATTATCTATCTTTATTTATTCTCTTGAACATTATAAGCAAGAAAAATTTTAAAAACAGTGGGGTCAAAAGAAAATATTGAAAGAATGATTGAAATACAATAATAAGTAAATAAATAAATAAAATTTAAAATTAAAACTTATGAAAAAATGCAGCGTTTGTGGAAATTTTGCTAATGTTATGGTAGTTTGAAAGCCAGGTACGTATGAATGTTTAACATTGTGTTACATAAATTTAAGACCAAAAATTCAAGCACCTTTTCGTCTATTGTTTACGTACATGTCACAAAATCTGATGTCTCTAAAGGTCGTTTTTCATCGCGGTCTTTCCTCTTGGAATGTTGAAAAATAGCCATATCGATGGAAAATCATTCTATATTATCTGTAATTCTGAAAACCTAAGGTGTGCAAAAGAATTACAAGAAGTTATATCATGACTTACCTTTCAATAAGTTAATTGCTTGAGCTTTCATACATTGATACTTACTTCTGTTGTGCGTTTGAATACGCTGAGCGTTATCGCGCTATTTATTTGCTTAAGCGTTTCGATAATTTTTAAAAATTCTCTTTTCAGATATTATTTCAGATATTAAACGTTGTGATTTATAGCCAGTTTATTAGATTGATTTAACCTGATAGTGAACTGAAACTAAGTGTTTTTCCATGAACTGTTTGAATTTTCTGTTAAATTTTTACAAAATTCTATATGAAAAGTTTCTACTTTTATGAAGTTTATGTAAAAGTCTTACACATTAATCAAACAAGTATTGTATTTTTTTAATTCGATACAAGCTTTGATGTTTTTAATTTTTTTAATAGTTGTTTTCAAAGAAAAACCAAACCTAAAGCAAGCGAAAAGCACATGAACTGTAAGGTTGTAAGGATCTTAAGTTTTACTAACGTTTATTTTATTTTAAATCTTTACTATCACTCTTATTTTCTACTTCCGGCCAGAATTATAAGCGTGAACATTTTATGCAAAGTTTGTCTGGCGAACGCCAATTTTAAGTTGTGGCTTTTTGCCAAGCAGATAGAGAGGAAGCAGGAGTTCGAAGCAGGCCGCTACCTTAGAAGTTATCAGTTGCTGGTTCGCCTTCCAGCCAAGGTTTTAATCCTCTTGATAATTAACGTATTGTAGTGTTCACAGTCTCTGTGCTACATACGCTTCCTGTTATTATAAGGCCAATCTTCCACGTGTATTATTCTAAAGTTAATTAGAGTTTAGTTTTATTTTTAGCTTTTTTACGTTAGACCCCGAGTGGAGGGTCAGTGTATTCCGAAGTACGGAAGTTATTGTATATAGAGAAAAATAAAGGGTTTTGTATACCCTTCGTCTGTATCCTGTCTACTTACCACAATTAGTGAACATAGCTTTAGTAAGCTCTCTGGTCCGAGTCAGGTCCTTGTATGTTCCCGAAGAAGGTTAGAAGGAACATTGAACCTGATAAGGTGATATTAGTAAATGAATGACAAGGTCAGCCTGCGTCACTGCCCTCTGTGTGACATTCGACATATTTTTGCTTGTTGCTACGTTAAATATATTACTGCTTTTCGGTTTCACAGTAACCAGGTGAGCCCTTTGTGAACGAGCGTTTATGCCCATTAACAGGAACCCAAGACAAATTGCATCCCTCAAAATTTAAACATAGGGTTCTAAGCTCTTCTTTCTGTACCTCATAGCAGTCAGGAAGCATTTATCAAACATATGGAGGGTTGCACCGCCGTCCAACATAATGCCTGCCCAAGCTATTACCTGTACCACTGTAATGATCCTTTTCTGTGAGGAGGGAGAGATGGCCTCGCGATCCAAGCTCTCTCCAGATACAGATACGCCGAGAATCCGTGTGCGGGCTGAAACTCGACTCATCTGTAAAAAGCACTGTGCTTTACTAAAGTCTAGTTCAAGGCGCATGTTGTCTGCAGCATGCTAAACGCGCGGTCCTATGTGCATCAGTAACAGCGTACCTTCTGGCATATATCCCTATCTCATGAAGCCATGAGCTATTGTATACCGTGGCAGCGACACAAAACTGATAAATAACGATTCTCATTCCTTGCTGTGGACCTTGTCCAAATCTTCTCACTATAGGTCCCGTGTCCTGAAACTATTTCCACAAATTGCAGACGATACTGGAGTTTACATTGAGCTCTGTAGCCGCTTGTTCTTGTGGTTGACCTACGTCCAATATACCGACGATTCTCCATTATATTCCGCCATCTGTAAATTCGTGGTTACTCATTTTACCTGATACCTCGGGAAATTTACCTGACTTTTAAGAGAAAGACGGTGAATGTCGTGATTGAGTACGAACACACAAATCGTCGTAAACTCCTAGTGCGCTTTTGTCCCCTCCATAATCAGAACTCCACCGACACATACGTGTACGATTCTACTCTGAGCATTTGAATAATTCTTTGGCCGCATAATTAGTACCTTTAGTTCAATACTTTTTGTAAAAAAAAAGACATAATTTTTAAGAGTCTTACAGTTTTGCCCACGACTGTATTATTGCCTCATCATTGTCTGTTACAGAAGACGTGATTTTCTAATACCTAGATATTTTCAACACTTCTGATACCCCCAATCTATGACTGGTATATGTTTGAATGTAATTAGAGTATTTTTCTGTAAAAGCACTCTCACTGGTAGTCGATAATTGGCACTAAATTTTATAGCAAACTTTAGCATATTCGTAAGCAATCAAAAGTATTGATAAGAAACTTATTCTAAACAAATACGTTGCTTATGCAGGATTATTCAAAATGACTCATATAATTTCAAATAAATATAGTTTTGAATTGAGCAGATGCATTGTAATTACTTTTCCATTTATCACATAAAAGAAGTGCCGAAGTTTTACATTTCACCTTATGAGCGTTGTATGCCACAGCAGTTACAGTAGCAGTTATTGATGTAAAGTCTCCACCACTGGCTCTACAAAA